CTCCCCAACCATGAATGGAGTGTTTTCATTTTTGTTGGTTAAGACAATTGAACACTGGTGGTGCACATAAGCATAGACAGATGGCACATCGGATAACATCCTTAGTAGTTCGCTGCACATTGGGTAATCATGTGCCAAGAAATACATTATGATTATGGACAGACAGAGAAAGACAGGAGGATTTGGGAACACAGGGATCAAGACAGATGAAGAGGCACAGAGGAGAGGCTTAGCTGACTGGAAGAATAATGGTTACTTAAATTACATGGGGAAAAAGGTCAAAAAACAAGAGGTCAGAGCTGAAGGAAAAAGGCTTAAGCAACCTGGGGTCAGATAAAAAGATAAATAGAAGTGAAAGAACAGACAAGGAGGTGACAAAGCAAGACAGAGGTGGGAGACAGAGAGAGAAAGGGAGGGATGAGATAGAGAGGAGCAATGCAGCAAAAGTTGGAGGGTAATTGTTTTGAGTTCTTGTACTCAGGGAGGAGCGGTCAGCTCTCTGATGGAGAAAGAATGAGGGAATGAAGAAAAGGGAGAGAGGCACAGCAAGGGAAGGGGGAGGGAGGCTTCCCTACAAAGCTAAAAAGCCTATTGCACTAGCCAAGACTTTCAATGCATCTGTACGTGTTTGCGAGTCTTCCGTCTCACGTGCAGCACACACAGAAAAACACATGGCTAGTCAGTCACTGCCCCCTCCCCCCGCCCCCCTCACCACACCGCACAAAACAAAACAAGTTTTGTCTCCCGAACAGCCGAATGTGAACCCCCTCCTCTGCACTGCACTCCCCTTCTCCAGCTCTCCACAAAAAGGCTCCCAGGACAGCAGAGCAGACCGAGAGGGTTCATAAAGTCGAGCTTTGCTAGCTTATATTGCACTATCGAGGGCCCATGTAAACACAGTGTTGGATTGCCCCGACTTCTAATACACGGCTACCTCTCGGTGCTATACCACAGACTCTCTGAGGTTCAGCCTGTGCAAGGCTTGTATTTCCAGGTCCCTTATAGGGGTTTGAGAAAGTGAGGGAGAGAGGAAAGAAAGGCAGAAGGGAGCAGGTATTGAATGTCAAGTAGAGAAACAGGTGAGTGTGGGGTAGAAGAGCTGGAGTACACTTGCTTGCAATATAATGGAATTCAAATAATTCTGATTATAATATATATATATATATGGCGAAATAAAAGAATAGAAGTGGGAAAAAAAGTGAGAAAAGAGATGTGGTTGAGGGAGGCATACTATAGGTCATACTCCAGCTGTTGTAATCTGTGGCAGATCTAGAGGAAGCTGGGAGCCTCTGGATACAATCCTCATAAGGGAGGGTCAGGAATTGGAACGAACGACTGACAGGAAATTACCGCAGCATATCACCATCCTCATAAGAGCATGGAACGCCTGAGCAATAGGATTGAAGAATGCTGCAGAATTTTTATTTTTATTGTGCATGGTTTATTCAACGTTGGGATGGGAACCTAATAATGGGTCGATCCAAAGTAGGTGGTTGGTCCCTAATGAATAAGCAACTTTCACTGGGGTCCAATAAAGAGAAATAAATGTGTGCGATGGAAGGTTTACTTCTTACTTTGAGAAGAAAATCTTTAACAATGAAGGCAAGCGGTGTCCTGCCAATGTTCAAGACTTACGTTATCCTTCAGAAGAAGCCACAACTACATGCAACAATATCCAATAAATTCTACATGTATGAGCTACAAGAGTAGCAGTAGGAGAGAAGATGATCTCAACAATTTTCCTTTTTCAGGCCTCTAAGGGGAAGCAGAGGACAGGAAAACCTCAATTAGCAAAGCTGCAGCTCCCAGTGGGACCCATTCCAAGGCCTATTGTGACAGAGGGGGGGTTGACAGGGTGTGTTTTGGTGTTATCTCCTGGATGAAAGGTCACAAGTACTACTCTGACTTCTGTATAATTGGACTGCATGACTTCCTGTTTACATTGCTATACTCATCCACTTTAGTCTTTCAAGTGTGTGAAAAAAAGTGTTTTTCCATGTGTAAAAAATAGGACTAAAGATGGAAAGAGGTACAAAAAAAGATTTTAGTAGGAAATGAAAAACAAACTTAGTAATGAATACTCGTTTCTAGAAAACGGAGGCAATTTCTCTGTCGATAAGGTCCGTTACTGACCATTCACAAAGCCCCGCTCCTCTTTGTTACTATTAGTATGTCAAGATTTCTGCCTTTGCACTGACTCATTTACAACAAGAACCCTGTTTAAGTGTTCTTATACTGCAATTTACAGAAACACTTGACTTGTTGATCATTGTTGCTTTTAGCTGAACGTCTATTTCGATCCATCTTCCTTTAAATTGTTCTTGGAACTGTGTTAACATTGTGCTATGTAACACTCCTTGTATGTCTACAGATACTGTAGTTGGCCAGTAAAGTGGATTCTGATTCAATGCAGAGCTAGTTTGTATATGTAAAAATATAATCAGCCTCGCCTTTCACTTTAACATAACCCTGTTTGTTCACGTTTCACTTTTACCAGTAGTTGGGAGAAAAGGCTTTTAGGATAATAACTAATCAAAGCACATATACCCTGTAATCATGCCTTACACTTTTCTTTTCGGTTTGGGAATATCTACAAAAAGACAACACACTTCAAAAAGTTGAGTGTTGCTCCTATTACTCAATGCACACTGCAGCAACATAGAGAAATCCAAAACTGGACCAACATAATGGGCCTACTTACAATCGCTAGGCCAAGACTGGACCATCGCTGTTCAGTTTAGCAAAAATAGTCCATTACCATTAGTATAACCCTGAGCATGCAGCCAAAACTGGAGAAGAAAAAAAAAGAAGAAAGGCAAGAATATATTAAAAAACAACCTTTCTGTCACATCTCACCTGCAAAGTACTCTTCAAACTCTTCACTTCTGTCAGTAGATCCTTCAGTATCTCTGAGGAAAGTATAGAGAAATGTCAGAAGACATCGCATGCATAGCAAATACAAAAAAAATGTCAAGGAAATGGATTTGCCCTTCTCAAAACTGAGAAATGTTAGGCCCACAGTTAAATGAAAACTTTTAATGCTCAACAAAAATATTGCAGGCCTGAATATTATTTATCAGAAGTAGATTCAGGGGAAAATATGTATTGAAAATTGAAATACTAGCACTATGACAGACATATGACTCTTGCCTGTTGTGTTCGTGGCCCCCTCCTGGCTGCCAGTGATACCCAGTGTTGTCCTACACTCCTCCAGCAGCTTCTCCAGTTCCTCACCCTGGCTGTCCTCAGATTCATGACTGGGGAGTAAAGACTGACTCAGACCACTGTCCCTTTCTCTCCAGTTCTGCGCTGAAGAGCTGCCCACCACAGGTGAGGCACTACACAGGGGAGAGGGGGTCTTCGTAGGGCAGACAGCCACAGTCTTCCCCTGGAAGACCAGAGTCCGAGGGGTGGAGGTAGGAGGACCCCCATTTCTCCCTAAAGCGGCTTGTCCTTTAATCCCTGTACTTCCTGGCTTGCTGTGCACCTGGCTAACTCCAGGGCCAATGGCGGAGCTATTCGAACTGACTGGTGGATGAGGCCTCCAATCAGGAGGGGGACTGCAAGTGGTAGGGCTGCTAGATGGCGCTTTCTTCCCACTGGATGTGAGGAGTGGGACTGGAGGTGGAGATGAAACTGGGGCAGAAGAGGAAGGTTGTGGTGAGGCAGGGTGAAGGAGCTGAGGGACACCTGGCACGAAAGGAGGCCCATCACCCTGTGGAGACGCAGGAGGAGTGTGGAAAATATCCCCATGGGCCCCTGGAAAAAAACACAACTGGATTCAGATATAATAACAAAACATAAGATATATATCAAAAATACTCTTAGAATAATAAACTGTCTGATATCTTTCTAGTCTAAAATGTAACTACCAAAAAAAAAATGTCTCGTACTTCACTGACGTCCTTTTTAGGTGTATGTGAGCTAGAGTTGTTATATTTCCACAACACACTTGAGTAAGTTGCATACTGGACTTTGATTGGCCTTTAAACCACTTGTGAATGTCAGAAAATCATACCAGTGCATTACGTCTTAAACTTTACCCCTTCAGCAGATGAATGTGGAAACATCCTCTAGTGTTAAACTCTGCTCATAGATAATTCTGAAAACTGAAGGTCAAACATCCAAGTGAAGTAACAACAAACAAGATTTATCAGTATTGTTATTTTGAATGGAGGGGGCCTTTAAGGTTGTGAATAAAGAGAAACAACAAAACAGATTGAAAGACTGACAGAGCAGCTGAATCATGGACAAAATGACGAGAGAAAAAAAAAACAGATTAGTGGTCACTAGTTTGGTATGTTGATACTGAGAACACCATTCATTGAGGTGACTGGAGCAGCAAGGCCCTCATTAGCCAGCAAACATCCAGGCCAGGCCCCTGAAGATGAATGCTTTAATACAGACATTCCTCTTGGACTGCTCATCCACAAGGTTGCTGCGACACTCATTCTCAAAATTAAGGAACACACAGAGGACAAATGTTCCCCAAAGCCGCAGATACATTTCCAAACTTGACACAAGAAAAACACACCCAAGTGATTTTTACTTTTTGGCTCAGAGTTCCTTGCCCATAACAACATGCCACCAATAACTTGTGAAGCTATGGGAACCACTGGACACCATGTATCTTTCCCTTTCTTTCCTCCTTCTCCTTGTTTGGACAAAAGTCTCTCTAGAAGAATGATTTTTTTTTCTTAAAATGATGTAAGGGGAGCAGTCGAACATATTCAAAGTTATGTACCACCTGCTGTACGGCCAAATCATTGAGAAAGAATGACAGGATTGTCTAACAACTTTCTCATGCCACCCCTGCTTTTTATTTCTTCATTCCAAACCTTAATGCGCCTGTCCAACCATACACACTGGTGGCAGATTGACTGAAAGAGAAATAGTGTGTGCGTGTGTGTGTGCGTCCACAGAGGTGTGTGTGTGCGTGTCAGATAGCATTAGGCTTCCTATGATTAATCCGCTGCCCTTGTGCTGAGCCGGGGAATTCTGCCGATTCATCACAGCTGGCCCGGCGGGGCCAGAACGAATCACATAGGGACGCGAGGAGAATGACCACTCACTGAGCAACACACGAGGGCTGCCAAGATTCCTGCTGCCGTTCAGCACACACACACACGCACTGCCTTTCCTCTTGCTTCTCCTTTTGTTGCCTTCAATTTCCTGATTACCCCTTATCCACCCCTCTTTCATGCAGTCTCTAGCATCCTTCCTGTATTTTTCCTATTTCTCCTTGTACCCATCCTCCTTCTACTCAATGTATCAGAGCCTTGAGGTGTGCTGGCTTTATTTGATCAGAACATTTGAAAACATGAGGCCAACACACAGACATCGCCAGGCGCACTTTGTGTGTACTGCCAAACATTTGAAATCCATTTGTGACTGCAGAGACAGAACAAAGGAGATTCAAGGAAAGTGATCTGAGCACAGTTGGGTTAAAAAAAAGAGAAAATTGCAGGCTGATAAGTGTGTGTTGACCTACCTGTGGCTCCATGGCTGTCCTTGCTGGAAAAGTTGCCCATACTGCAGTAATGGGGTTTGGGCCACTGATGGTGCCCTGCAGTTGCTTGTTGCTCTTTCACTCACTGTACAGGCACTGTAGAGGTGACCTACACACAAACACACACACACACACACACACACACACACAAACACAGGGACATCCAGTAAGATGATGGATGAAGTCACGCACTGTTGTCCAGCTGAGAAATAATTCAGTGACTACATCTCTGAGCTCCGGAAGACTGAGTGAAGTTACAGGGAATTCATGCCACTCATCTTAATGTTTGAAGAAAATCAGCCTGTTTACGCAAAGAGGTTCGATCACAGGAAACAGGACACTCACAGTGTGACCACATGTGACAAACAAAGCTGTGAGCATGTCAGGTTGAAACACATCTGAATGAGAATAAACTGCACACGAGTTGAGAGAAATGCGCCAAAACCAACACATTCCGCCCCATCGAAACAACACAACTAATCCAAGCAGGCAAAACACATCTGAGATGAAATGTTGATACAAACACAACATCATTTTGTTCTAACGCCGCAGAGTTTAACGCGCAATCCAAACTTTTACACATAAACCCGAAGCAGCGTGCGCCAAGAGTTTTCAAAACGCGTTTGGAAAAGTAACTTAACTTTTTTTTACTACGCTAAAACCCACATCTTGGATTTGGAGAGAAACGAAAAGTGGATACAAACCTCTTGAAAGCAGACAAATAAAATCCCCAATCCCTTTGTTCTGAGTTTAGTGAACTCTTCTTCTCCTCCACGCTTTGCTTCTTTCAGCGCTGCTCAGCCAAGCGCACTGCCCTGCTGCGTCCTCGCCGAGGAGAGGAGAGGGGATGGGAGACCGAGAAATGCAGCTGCATGTCTATAGAGCGAAGTTTAACCCAAGCGACCACTTGCTGCTGGAAACATGTTGATATGAGGACACAATCTGAGTTTTAAACGCGCACTGACAAGAGGGAGAAAACTCCGGACAGAGATGACGATAGTGTCGATAACCGCTGGATGTGTCCACTGGAGGGCACAGTTAGGCTGCGTTTGGAAGAACCTGTTGCCTCTGGGATGTGTAGTGGCTCCTCTTATCTCTTGACTTAATGATGAAGCTGACTCTCCCAGGCTGATGACCCACTGACCCACTGTGCCAGGCAGCAGGCTGAAAAGCCCGTAGTTAAACCTTCCTCATACCTGCTTTTACTAGATTAAATGTATTCAAACCTTTGCATTGATTGTTTGCTCTCTGCATCCCTCTGATTATATCAGTATTAACACACTGTCTGTTTCTGTGCAACATCTGGATGCTTAGATGTTTGAGCTTTAAACTAAGGTGGTATGTTTACTATTTGGCATTAATGCAACTATTTGATTTTGATTTGTTTCTGTCATAAGAAACACACACACGCACACACACAAACACCCAAGAAAGGCTATAAATAGCATGTAGCTCAAGTTATGCATGAACTGGAAGCAAACAGGATAAAAACACTAAAAGTTAAAAGATCTTATTTAGAGGTCTGCTGCACCTCTGCTATATTACGTAAAAGTTGTGACTTGCAGATTTCATTACATATTACTCATTATACAAATACTACGTACACTAAATGTGCATTTATTTCCTTTAATACTCATTTTCTAATAGATCACATCTCATCTGGTAAACATAAAAAAAACCACATTTAAGGTTTCAGTCCAACCATATCTGTGAATTCTGAATAACTTCTGACTCTTATTATAATGCCTATGCTGATCTTTCGTATGCTCTTTAAATGGGCTCTTTTATTGTGATAAAATTTTTTAACATATTGTCTTATTTTGTACAATCTGTAAGCAGGCCTATTTGCTGCTGGCTCAGGTGTAGCCTTTAATCATGATTGGTTGTTATTTTTTGTTATCTTAGGTATTGACACTTAAGACATGCACAGAGTTGTGAAGAAGTTTGAAGGTTTAGATAATGTAAGGTAGCTCATGATTTGATAGTTAGGATTGTGATTGTCTTTGTGATTACTGTCTCCATGTGTAACCGAGAAATGATTTACCTTAATAACAATAATGACCCATTATGTGAAACCTGCAACCTGTACTGGAGGTTTAAGGTCTAAATCTGCTTGACTGAATGATTCAGCTGCTACAAATTTGTAAAATCAGTGTCTGATCTTTTTAAGCCTAGTTACACCAAAACAGCATGGATTGCACTTTGACTAAAAATATATTTATTTCTTAGTACAAAAAGCACAACTTCATTGCACAACACTGTACAAAAACCATCTGACCGACAGGTGTGACTAAATGCAACAGTAGAGAAGCATGTTTGCCAAATATGCTTTTATTTCATAAATCTCTTCCAACATCTTTTCATTAAATATTAATTATACAGCTAACAGAACACATCTTTCCTTTAATGGGCACAGCTGAACCGGAGTTTGTGGACCTATACAGATTGAAATGAATGAGCAGTGATGTGTGACAACCACAACAAGCTAACAGATGAATACTGTGCTTTCAAACATTCCCTGTATTTTATTCCAGCAGCAAACATGTTTTTCAGATATTCCTTTTTGTCAGCGCACTGTCTTGGCAGTTCTCCCTCATGAACTGTACAATGCTGAGTGAAACAGGAAGTTTGCTGCAGTGAGGAGACAAGCCCTCCCCCTCTCCCCCAACCCCAAACTCTCTGATTGAGATCAATAGGTTTCCACAGTGCTCTGTGCTCACTGCGCATCACTGCAGTATAGAGAGAATCCATCAAAACCAGCCAGGTGCATTACACAAGCTCCAGCCCTCACCCAGGTTGATTTCACACTTATGGAAGTGTGGTGACTGAATGTGACTATAAAATGCAGTTTGGTGCCAGAATGACAGACACTTTCACACTTCGATTTTAGAACTGATGAAGATCATGGTAATTCATATATGTATCAGAATCAGGTGTTCCTGAAAACAAATTTTCATAACAACTGTATTTTTCCCACCGGTGTATAGAGTATCCTGTTATTTTGATACCATCACATCCCCATTATGGAATTGTTTATGGGTGTCGGTCTCTGTGCAGAGTAAGGTGACCAATTGTTCAGACAGTGTCAATGCCAGTTGGAGCCATTAGCCCCCTCTGCTGAGTGGATTATGACCATTTTGTTGGTGACCTACTGCGCCAGCGTTCTGGAGGGCCACTATTGAGGCTCTAAAAACCCCCAACCTGCAACAACCAGCTGCTGATCCAATTTGGCAGACAGACAAGGATGGCTCTTCAGCAATGAAAAACTGGATTATAAGGTCTGGCTGACCTCTAAGTGATGAAACACTCAACTTTCTCACCACCCTCCTTTTTCACAACTTTGCAGACTACATGGGAACTTTCTCCTCTGCCTCTGTCCTGCTTGTGGGAAAATAAAATTATCTCTGGTTACTTGTGTAAGCACGACACCTGAAACGCAAAATTCTACTTCTCTTTATTAGATTTTTAAATGTTCATAGTCAAAATAAGAGACAGTAAAGATAAGGACGGTATGACCCTGTGCTATCCATAAGGCACAGCACGCATTCTCAACCACACTCAGTGTCTCGCCAAATCTCTAGTCCACTTTTACTGCTACGTTTTTTGGTGTAAACACAAATGGAAACACCAATTCCATAAACAATGCGTCTATGTATCACAGTAGGACAATCGGTGGACACTGCAGGGGGAATGGTACAAAGTTGGAATGCACAGATATTGTCAACCTCTCACGGGTCCTTGCCTCTAATACCAGATTAGGTGAGTGAGTCTGTGTGCCAGGAATGATCTTCTACCTGGGGTAATCCCTACAGAGGACACAGGCTTATCCAGGAGGAATCACCACTCTACCTCGTCTGCCTGCCACCCGTAGTGTCTCAGCCAGGTAAATTAGGATTCATAATCCAGCCAGGTGTATTTGTGCAAGTGTTGTTTACATGACTCGGGTTTCAGTCTGGAAAGTACTTAACTTCCTTTTGTTCAAGGGTTTTCAATCCACAAAAACACCCTGCCACTCTGCTATTCTTTCACCAGCCTCCTTTGGAGAATTTAAGTTTTCTGAACACAGGAAGCACCAGTCACTGATTCAGCCACGAAGCCAACCTGTGTCTTCTGCCACTGTCACTTGATTGACAGCCGATGCAAGACTGTGCCAGAAAATGCCAAGGCTTGTTGATGGATGGCACCTGCTCCTCCTCAGAGGAAATCAATTGAAGTCATGGGCAGGGATGGGCTTGCTAAAGAACTTACACATGGCTGTCTGCCTGGGGAGGGAAAGTGAAGGGGGGTTGGGGCACAGGGAGAGGACTGCCAACCATCTGTGTATGAAGGGGCACTGCCAAGCGTCAGTCCCTTTTTACGCCATGCCTCAAAAAGACACACAATATCTCCAAATTAAACATGTTAGCTCCTTTAAGCTACATTCAGTAACAGTCTTTGGGAAGTTCCAGCATCATTATGTACTCATCCAATCATGCATATTGCTTAGTGCTCTCTCAGTACACGAAGACTCTAATATCAGTGACTAATTGACACAATCCAATAGCAGTTTAACTATTTTTATGTGTTGCGCTAGTTACAGAATTCATTATTACTATAAGACATCCAACTTCCTGCCAACATAAAGGTTGAGGTCATTCAAATATCCACACTAGCACATCATCAGAGAGCACATGGGCCACACTGGTGCAGTGGGCCAGCATAGCTACAATCTTAGATGTGCATAAGTGTAGTTACTGGAACTCAACCTGTGATGCAGGCCAATCTATATCCAACCTAGCATCGCAGGTTATTTCGAAGAAACTTTCTGGCCCACAAAGGAAGGAGCCGGGATTTCCTGGCAGGCACCAGCCCGGCGAGTAACATCCAGGAAGGGGGTCCTATGGGTCGCTGTGCCCACCATGCTCGCATCAGTGTGTGTGCCAACCAACTGCAGCACACGTGCAGAGGGCCGGTGGTGGAGGGCCAACTGCCTGGAGCTGTAGCCACACATCCCGATCCCCACGGCCCCCAGCAGCATAGCCATGCCGGGTATGTTCTTCTCAGCTGGAGGCGTCACAGACACGTTATGATAGGCCTGGGTCTGAAAAGGGAGAATAATGGAGAGAGAAATGTTGCATTTGAGTATTTAAGATAAATTAACAAAATCAGAACTGCTTTAAAAGCAGTCCAGAAATAACACAACTTCCTGGCAAAGAATGACCGAAGTGTCCTCATTTATTAACATTCAACATTGATTCCCATTTATATGCATGGATGGGGATCAATTTTCAGGCCTATAGAGCACAGGAGGACAACATGCCTTGCAGCCCTTTTTCGAAACATTTGTCTGCATCACATGAGTGAGCTTAAACATGCTCACCTCAGCCCCCACCCTATCTAGCCCTCTCCCACCAATGCCAAAGAGATTAAAAACTCATCTTCGCTCATTTACCAAATTGCAGTCTGTCTCTTTTGACAAACAAAAAGCTCGTCTATTTTGTGACATGGGCAATTTCCTCAGTGGGCCCTTGACAATTATAAAGAGCATAGAGGAGCAAATAATAGAATCTTCATAGTTTCTAATGGAGCTGTGTCACAGACAGTTAAGAAGCCATTCCTGTAGCTCACTCACCCAGTTCCCATTTCCATTTACAACGCAATGGGCTGTCACAGGCTTGGATCTTGCTATTGTTTATGGTAAACGCCAACAAAAAGGTGATTGTGTTTTGTGAGCTAAGACAAAAGGCACCCTATAGTTACTGGTACAGAAAACTGGAGCGAACTTGTATTTGTGGATAGTGTGAAATATATTATGATAGTACAGTATTCCATCATCTGTTAAGACACATGACAAAAAACAAAAATGGCAGCATAATGGTGGCATAAGGCTATAAACGTCTGTACGTACCCATAAAACCAGTACCTTGCAAACACTTCATTACGTCAATGGCTGTGCTCAGAACTCTCAACGTCATTTCATCTGCCACTTTATTCTACTCCATAAGAGCCAGTGCAGACAGAGCATGACAAGCATTGTGTAATTGGGACTTCAAATCCAAAGCATTGACAGAGATTTCTGCCTTTTTGTTTTAAAGGTCTTTAATCAAAGCAAGTTGCTTGATGCAGAAAAATTGCAATACAGTACAATCCACTTCTGCTTCTTAGATCATAACACTTCCAATGACTCAGCACTCTACCTTCCTGCAACTTTAGTGTCACTATGCTTCTGAGAGTAAAAATCACAGCACTCTGTGGGTGGTCACAGCATCTACTTGAGTCTAAATCTCACCAGTTTCACTTCATTTGATGGAATTTCAAATTGACAAAAACCATCAAACACTTCCAAAACCTCCCAAATTGCCCAACTCACCTGCAGCAGCCTGATGTAGCCCGGAGTCAGTCTTGGGACTCTGAAAAACATTTTGGATCAGGACTGAGTTAGAGCCCAGATAACACTTGTCTCTCTGTCTCTCCATCCTCTCTTCTCTCTCTCTTACTCAGGCTTCTCTTCCTGGACTCCCAGGACGGGAAACCCACTGACGGCGGGTCTGTCCTGTCCTGTGTGTTTGGACACTTCAACCTGTGCTCAGCTCTGTGATGCAGGACAGTCTGGTCAGCTCTTATAATGTCTCCTTCTTTGCTTTACATAACACAGTCTGCAGGTGGTGTGCCTAAGGGGATTACAGGAGCTGGCACACTGAAGTCTGTCTGAACAGAAGGAAGGTTGAAAGGAGTGTAGAGCTGGCTCATACTTAAATATCAATGTATATCAAATTTTAGGGGAATCATATTGCAATGACGTACTGTTGTTTTAAATTCTGTTGTGGAAATGAATGACTTCAAGCTCACTGTGCAGTTATTAAAAACTAATTAAGATATTACTGGGGGTTTATTTTTGGTTTACATGTGTACACTGTTTTGTCTGATGTATTGCATAACAGTGGAATGCAGTTTAAACATCAAGCATTTCTATATAATGTTTCATACAGTTGGCACATTGTGATAAATATCAATACATAAAATAATATAAAATATTCTTACTAACAATGTAATTATTCACCCAGTCATAATACACTGTATTCATCTATGTACTATATATGGTGTATGTGTGTGGAGAATCAGAGGGGTGTTAATGTACACACTGTGTGGGCAGATAGCAGTGTGCATACAGTCATTGTCAAAGTTTTAAATTCTGTTCTGAACATTTCCAGGATTTTGCCATCAAAATAATGTGCAATTTGTGCAAAATGATGAATGAGAAGTAAGCTAATTCTGGTAAAGTACAGTACCTACATTACCATCAGCTGTAACTGATTTCTTACTTCAGCAGTTCCTTTAATAGCTTTATACAGGAGGCCTATGTCATTTGAAGTCAGAACCACTAGAATCCATTTGAATCTGCCAAGTGGGTTGATTTGGATGTTTTCCTGTTGATGTTGAGAATGACTTCTCCTGCCATGTCAGCAAATTTCTTTAAGCTTTAATATCCTTCCTGGCCTCGGGGTCCTCGACTCAGAGTGAGGTCTTATAATGAGGTAGCTGTGCTGATAACGTCTCTCTCACTGGAGAGGAATTCTCTCCAGCGAGCAGCCAACAATGACCTTCTTCTCATCTCTGGTAATAGGACCTAATTCTGCCTCCAAACTCATGCATCCATGAATAATCTCAAACCCTGGCAATGATGCTGCAAAGTCATGATGCCACTGAAACACTAAAAGAAACCATATAACATTGCTGTAGGTGAAAACTATAACCTATTAATGACATTAGTGCAAATGTTAACAAGACTAATCTAAACTTTATGACAAAGCCAATATGCTGATAGCAGTAAACACAAAGTAATGCAGAAGTGGATGGGAATGTCATTAGTTTTGCAGGATTCTAGTTATAAACCAAAGTACTGGACAAAATCGAGTTTTGACCTCATTGTGGAGTTTAACCTGCAATAATTGATTTTTTTGGCCACTTGGTGGCAGCAGAAACAAGTTGTGAGCACAACACTGACATATCAAATTTTAAATTGATATAGCGAACATTGATATTCACTCTCTTTTAGCTATGTTTTTGGTCTCTATATTAACTCCTGATGCTAATACCTGGTTCTTTAGCTGCTAAACGCTCCACTATGTTCACCAGCTAGTTGCTAACTTGGGCTGTTTACCCCACGGCCCCCAGCATTTGCCATTTGGTGCTGTGCAAGTAGTGTACAGTGGGTTTTTAGAGCTTTGTCCACTGAAAACAAGAGAGCTGTGAGAGTGAACCAAAACAGCAGTCGCAGGCTTGACGGCTAAACCATGAGCTGAAATTCATTATAAAGCTCTGTAAATCCGAGGGGAGTGGAAGATTCAGGTGATACTTCTCTGTAGGTTCAAGGGATCATCAAGGTTATTATAATTCATCCTGAGGGGGGTATAAATGTCTTTACCAATCCAACCAAGACTTATTGAGACATATCCCTAAAAACAGAAAACCTCTAAAACTCATGGTGGTAGAGGAAATGTCAGTAGTTAGGATGCATTGTCTGGGAGCCATGAATGTCTATACAAAATATTGTGTCAATCCGTCCACTATAAGTTGAGCCACTTCACTGGATACATAAATACTTTAGCTGCTGGTAGCACTTGAGAGAATGTTAGTGGTTCACCAAAGTCATTAGGATTCATGCTCTGGGCACCTTGGATATCTATACCAAATGTCATGGCAATCCATTCAAGAGTGGTTGAGATAAAGTGGTGGAAAAGTGGACTAAAGTGCTTGATTGAGCAACAGACTGACATTGCCATCCCAACCGCCAAGCTGCTAGCATGGCTAAAAAAAGAGCACTAAAACTACAGATGATCACCTTTATATTATGTTGCATAAGAATATCAGGCAATGTGCTCTTTGCCCTTATTGTCTCCTCTGGCTAATGTCTGCAGAATGAGCCCATGAGCTTTCATCAGACACAGCACCAGGTGTTTCCATCCATGAAGACAGGGCCACAGATGGCCACCCTCATGCAAATTTTTCACCACTATAATACCACACACACACACACACACACACACACACACTCTGTGAGCTGTGTGTTATAGTGTACATTATAACCTGCCAGTGTCTACTGGTGCATTCTAGCTCCTCCAGAGCCGGTACGTAACAGACAGCTCTGACTCAGGTCATCACAATGGCACCGTCCAGCCGAGATAATTCTCTGGCCTTTTACTGAACTTATCTCCTGGCATAGAGCTACAGGTAAATGTATTAGAATAGATTATCTGAGCTGTACACAGGCACAGTGATGCGGAAGGTTAAGCTACCGACTCCCTAGGTGGTACTGGTGCCCAAAGTCCATCAACAACATACTCCGTTGCTATATTGAGTGGGCAGTTAGGTAAGGGCAGCAAGTGGTTTTAGGGTTCATGTTATGAGTTTAGTTATTGTTTTTTATCATTCAGCCCCATAATTACTATCTGCTCAAACGCCATTTGTACCATCAGTATTACCTCCCCAAAGACTATTAATCAATCCAGTGCAGTTAGGTGAAACAGCCAATTTGAAAAGGCATGTGGAATAGCAACTCTGTCAAAAATTGATTTGTGGGGAGTGTAGTGTAGATAATTGAGAAGCTATTAGGTTAACCGGCTGGGTTTAAATGTCATAACATCCGCAAACAACACTGGAGCTCCGGCAGAGCTGACATTTGCTTCTCTGGCAATTAGGGGTCAGATGAGGAGGATGGGTGTTATGTTAATACAAATTAAATGTTCGATTCATTTGAACTACATAAAACTCTAACAAACAAGGAAGTAAGTAACAGCTCAGTCGATAATGACAGCGCCGAGCTTATTTGTGGTGGGCGGAAGGATTTGCCTTGTTGAGCATTAACTGGCTTTGTTTTCTTCTCGTACAATATAAGGCATGAAAGTAGATCAGACAAAGTCATATATAGATCAAAAAACATTTAATTATAAAAATATTCTAAATAACATCATGTAAAGTCCAACAGTGTGCAACTTGGTATATTCCAGAACTTTCTTGTCTAAAGTGATGGAAATAATCCTTCACTGGAGTCTCTGTTTCACTGTGACTGGCAGTCTCATGGGTGCATTGTAGAAAGCCTTGTCTTCTTGTCTCCCTGCATGGGAAGAATGTCTGTGATCCAGTATTGGAACAGTGAAACGACTGCAGTGGTTTCCTCTAAAACACAAAAGAGACAGAGAGCAACATTTCAGGTACAGCTGAAACTGCTGCTGACAACACAATACCAGAGGAACAGTCAGTGTTTTTTCACCACAGAGATTTATTTGCTGTTGTATTTTCAGTATAAGTAATCAAAACTTTTCCAGCTAGTGTTGCGTGTAGGCATTCAACTTAACACATCTGTCTCTAACCCAAGACAGAATATTTCTTTTACTTATTCGTGAAATTCTTATTCTTGAAAAGAATTAATTTAAGCGAAGCTATGTAAAACATAAAATGGACAGTATAAAGGGGAGCAGTCAAGCCGATGTCATGCATGAGAGGAACTCCAGGGTGCAGTAAAATATGTTCAAAGGAAATCTGCTTTAGACCTGCTCCTGCACTCAATTGATTGGGGCTGAGTGAAGAGTGAGGAGAGCTTCAGTGAACTCACTTGAACAACTTTAAAAGCAAACCTCTCCACAAGCACATGGACTAGCTCCTGTATGGCAGGGGATGTGGGTTACATTAAAATACAGAATGCTTCTTTAACAAGGTGGTCAAATGACCCCACCCAGTCAAAAATGTGTTTTTGTTCTTGTTCCTACAGTTGGATGTTTGAGCTTTACTGTGCAGAATGATGTATGTGCAGTGTATCTACTGTTTGACACTAGAAGGATGTTTTCACATTTATCCGCTGCAAGCGAAAATTTCTCTGTGCTCACTGAAAATCTGATTTTACGAGCATGATTTGTGACCACAGATAGTTTGGAAGTCATTCTCGGTACAGTATGCAACTTAGTGTGATGTAGAAACTCAAAACCACCAGCGAACAAACAGACAGTAAAGTAGGAGACATCTTGTGTCCAGCAGGAAAACAAAATTTGCATATTCATTCATTCAGATTTTGAAGTTTTTAATGAGCTAGAAAGAGTAGATGCCTTTTATCTATGGAATCTGTTTTTGTGGAACAAGACATGTCTGGACGGGCTCTTTAAAATTGTCATATTGTAATGTTAATGTGATGTTATAAAGGTGAGTCAAATACAGCAAGAATACCAGCCAACATAGCAAAGATGAGTTAACTGAGGTAAATCTTTGCAAACTAGAAATATTCATTCACAGGGAATTCTGCTCTAAAGAAACCTGCTGGCGGAGTTGCATTCAAAAACAGCAGCATTTAAAAACACTGAATCGAAGCATGACTCATACAATATGAGGCGGGTGGGAACAAGGGGGGTTAGAAAAGCTTTCAGGCAGCTGTGAAGCAGGTCGATGGCGAGGATAGGCACAACTAAAGAGCCCTCTATTGTGGGCTCTGCTCGCGAGATAGCAAACTAGTTTCGACGCGGTGTTGTCTTGGCGACAGGGACAGGCGGAGACAAGCGTCACTTTGTGGTCACTGACATGGCATTGGCCTGAATATCCTGGCTGGTCTCTCTAGCTCTCCCTCTCTTTCCCAGACACAAACACTTGTGCGTGTGACAGCAGCAAAGTCCCTGCTGATCCTATTATGCAGCCAGCTAGCCAACCATGCAAATGCACAAACACAAACATGCACAGGTGAAAAACACGTCCGGGGACTCATGAGCGATTCTGGCTGTTGACAGGGTAAAGATGAACAAGTAGAAACATGTTAGTTAACTCATAGTGGAGGGGTAATGTGGACAAGACTAGTTCCGGTACTGCAAATTAAGGGCAGGCACGAACAGGTAAAGGCTCATGAAGGCAAGTAAGGGCAGGCATACTCAGGTGAACAATGGAGATCAATGTAAGGGCGCATAGAATAAAAAGGCAAGCAGGGACAGATAGAGGCATGTATTAACCTGCTGGGACAGGTCAACAACGGGCCTGGGACAGATCCCGGCAAGAGGAGGCCGGTGTGGACAGAGACGGGCATGAATACATGTCACAGGCGTGGAGCGGCAGGTAATGTGATGCAGTACTGACCTGCAGACAGAGAAGAAGTGTTACAGAGCTCCTCCAGCGCCTTTTCCAGTCTGTCTGACTCTTTTTGCTGGACAAATGCCTTGAGATTGTAGAGCTGCTTCAGGACAGAGGTAGGCTTGTCTCCGCTGGCTATGCTGCTTAGAAGGTCATCCAGTATCCCAGACAGGAGAGGAAGCTTGTCCACACGCAACGAGGCTGGGGGAGCACAGAGGAAGTGAGAGGCAGCCGGTTAATCAATATCATAATTTAGTATTGTATCTAACATTAGAGTGTAATCCAAACTGAGATGACAAAATCGACACGCTACACGTAACTGTCGAGACTCTGTGTCATCACAATAGAGAAACAGCACTAGTTTATTTTTTTCATTTACAATGCCAGACTGGGTGCAACTGATAGCTGTGCAGTCTCACCCATTTATTATTAGTCTCACTCATTTATGAGGCTCCTCTACCTTTCTCTTATTTTGAACACTGGTCATGGCCTAATCTTCAGCACACCCTGCGGCTTAATAGATCTGTTTCTCTGGGCGAGTTCAAAGCCTTGATTAAAAACTCAGTGACTGAAGAGTGCAATTTCTTTCCATAAACTGGATTTTGTATTGTCAGTCTAATTATCCCTGTTCTAAACATGATTTCTAACTTTTATAAAAGTGGGCTATCTTGGCTTGATTTCATTCAGCACTCAGACACAGACACGCAATTAAAGAACAGTTTCTCCATCTAGTACATTCTAATGCTGCTGCAATTTACCATTAGCCTTTAAACGTTGATCCAACAGACACTTTTCACAGCAGTAATTTTGACGTGAAATAGTAGGGTAATTACAGGCGTCACCAATGATACTAATTAGGTCAGAGTCAGGGTGTTGGCTCACTGGAAGGCTCTGCTAAACTAAATGGAACTGAACCTTAATTAGTGTCCCTGATAATACCTGTGTTTTCCCTACTATTTCATGTCAAAATGGCTGCTGTGATTAAGGTCTATTATGGATTATTTGTTTATTCTGTCACATCATGTTTTTAAAAAAAGCACAGACGTCCAGTGAATTCAGTTCTCATTGACATGCTTTCAGTATTTGGTGGAATTTAATTACGTGTTTGCTTTATACTTCATCCTAGAAAGCCACCAGCTTTGTGTAATATAGCACCCAAAATTAAGTAAAATCAAAATATTCCTTGTAAGGATTTTTTAATAATGAATTAGCTACAAGCTTTAGCACAGAGAACATAAGAAACCAGTTGATCCAGAAAGGTAAGCAAACCTCTGCTCTCTACTTACAATCTGACATATAGATTTCCATTGTTGTCCTGAGGAAGTCTGACACCTCAGCAGCTCTCTGCTCGTTATCCTTCTCATCCTTCTCCTCCTCCTCCTCTTTTTTGTATGTGAACTCCAGGGCTAGCAGCGCCGGGCATCAGGCCACGAGAGCAGCTTTTCTTTGTGTTTCTTCTTCAGCTTCCTCTTCTTGTTCCTGCTAATGCGCTCTCCTCCCTCATCCACAGGTGTCTGACTCTGACACATGCCCGACTCACTCCCTGGAACTGCTGCATCTTTCCCAGAGAGCTGGTAAAGGGCTGGTTTTCTTTTCCTTCTTCTCCTTTTTCTTTTCTGTTCTTCCTCTTTATCTTGGTCTAGTTCTTCATTGCCATCATGGACGCTGTCGTCTGTGGGCAACAAGATCATGAACTCTTAGACTGTTTTCAAAACATTGTAAAATG